CAGTTCCAATAAAACTATAATCTTAAGTATAGTGCTTTCCTGAGTTCTGTGAGTCTGTTTGGTAAATTGCCAAACCTAAGTGAGTCCCTGAGGATGGCAGAATTTGTAACCAGCAAGTATGACGTGAAGGTGGCCCTGGGGACTCCCAGGCCTGCACCTAGTGTCTTAAGGGCCATGCCGTAGGGGACTGACTATGCATTTGGCCAGAATTCATTGCAATGTAAGTTTTTGTCACTGTGTTTCTATTTTTGACAAAATTTAATCTATCCTCCAGGAAAGCATATGACTTCCCTGTTGGACATTATTGTCAGGAGGCTGTTCAAGACGGAGCAAACTGTAGAATGATGCCATAGTCGCCCTGTCGGTTAATGGGTAAAGTGACCCAGTTAGCCAAAACCGGTTTGGCTCAGTGGATAGAGCCTCGGCTTGCGGACTGAAAGGTCCCAGGTTCGATTCCGGTCAAGGGCATGTACATTGGTTGCGGGCACATCCCCAGTAGGGGTGTGCAGGAGGCAACTCGTCGATGTTTCTCTCTCATCAGTGTTTCTAGCTCTCTATCCCTCTCCCTTCCTCTCAGTAAAAAATCAATAAAATATATATTTTTTTAAAAAGTGACCTTGTTAGCTACCACAGATGAGATCTTTAATAGACAGTGAACATCTGGATGAGGACAACCAAATACTGAGATACCAAGTGGCATTTATCTGTAAACTAAACATGCTTAGTTTACAGATAAGGAATGAGACTTTAAGAAATAAACTTTGTTTTCTACAATATAAAAAGCACATACCATTTCCCTTATTCTCTGTATCAATTAAAGAGTTCAAAATCATATAAAAATAGAACTTAAGATTTATATCTAAACTACTAAAGTACTTCATTTTGCTGTATAAAATAGCAAAATATATCTCTGGTATAGTGACTATTTCTAGTAAAGGTAAGCATTTATCAACAATTTAATGCAGCAAATAATTACATGGTTCGCTAGACTTTTATATATACCTTTAAAGAATATGTGCTTTCATCAGCTGTACTGTCATTAACCTCTTATGTGCAACTTAAAATTCTTACTATTTCTTTTTAATACATCTACCTCTACATTCTCTCCCAGAAAGGCTCCATCCTACTTCAGTCTAGTGAGTCACACTCCTCTTCTCACAGTGTATATAGATATGCCTAAAATATATGTGAACGTGGATGTGCCCTCAGAGTCCCTAGGCTAAGATCAAAAATTAATTCTAAGAACATGCCAAAAAAAAAAGGCAATCTAGCCAAAACGGGTTTGGCTCAGTGGTAGAGCATCAGTCTTCGAACTGAAGGTCCCGGGTTCAATTCCGGTCGGGGGCATGTACATTGGCTGCGGGCACATCCCCGGTGTGGGGTGTGCAGGAGGCAGCTGGTCGATGTTTCTCTCTCATCGACATTTCTAGCTGTCTTTCTCCCTTCCTCTCTGCAAAAAATCAATTATATATATATATATATATTTTTTTTTTTTTAAGGCAATCTATAAAATTTTGGAAAGAAATGAATCCTTGTGAAAAAAAGAAATGGATAGAACTAATATATGCATATTTCTCTTCTTTTTTAATATAACTTATAGCATATTTTCCATTGTATTTTGTTGTTGTCATTTTGTTAAATTTAATGGGATGACATTGGTTCATAAAACCATACAGGCCTCAACAAAACATATACGCACTGTATTGTTGGCCCATTGCCCAAAGCAAAGTTTCTTTCCACCCCAATTTCCCCATTTCCCCCCTTTGCCCACCTCCATTGATCAACCCCCCACTCCCTTTCCCACATTGTTGTCTGTGCTATGTGTTAAATATATTGGATTTTTTTGCTTAATCCCTTCATCTTCTTTCATCCAGTCCACTAACCCTCTCCCCAATAGTAGTTGTCAGTCTATTCCATGTATCCATGCCTCTGTTTCTATTTTGTCTGTCAGTTTAACTTGTTCATTAGATTCCACATATAAGTGTTGAATATATGTACCCCTATTTTCATTGCAGCATTATTTACAATAGCCAAGATCTGGAAACAGCCCAAGTGCCCATCTTGGATAAAAACGATGAGCCGTGACCGGTTTGGCTCAGTGGATAGAGCGTAGGCCTGCGGACTGAAAGGTCCCGGGTTCGATTCCAGGCAAGGGCATGTACCTTGGTTGCAGGCACGTCCCCAGTAGGGGGTGTGCAAGAGACAGCTGATCGATGATTCTCTCTCATCGATGTTTCTAACTCTCTATCTCTCTCTTCTTCTCTGTGAAAAATCAATAAAATATATTTTTTTAAAAACAAAAAACTATGATACATTTATACAATGGAATACTACTCAGCTCTAAAATAAATAAATAAATAAAATAATTATTTTTTTCATTGGCTTTCAAACTAGAAATTCAAATAAAATTGTGATTTGAGAAATTGTTTCTTGTTTTTATTTTGTATACTTTATTATAACTATGTATATTCAGTTAAACACTGAACAACTCATTATCTCTGAACTGTTTTTGATGGATCTGATTACATAAAAGAAAAAGGCTAATAGAGTCCTAAAATCAAAATTATCTTCAAAATTTTAAAGGTATTCAGAAATGAAATGTCTCTGAAAAAGTAAGCATTTTTCCACAGTTATAAACTGTTTAAAACCACATAAAAATTGGCTTCCCTCATAAAAAATATATACTTCCCAGAAAAAGGCTTTATCATTCATAATATCAATATTTACCATTCCCATTAGCAAAGATGATAAGATTTTGCAATGGAGGCCTGGGGAAGGGGCAGGAACAGGGTGAAGAGGGTCAATGGGAGGTAGAAGAGACATCTGTAATACTTTCAACAATAAAGATAAATTTATTTTTTAAATTCATAACAAAAAGAAGACTCCCTAGAGCAATAATCTGACAACTATAGCTACTATTCCATATCTGGTGTTACTAGTTTTCCCCGTTAGATCAACTCTGCTATAAAAGGTGCTTTCCTTCTGTATTCTACAACCAAAAACAATTTCAAGAGAAACTGAGAACAAAGAAATAACAGTAAGAACTGAAATGGAGGAAAAATGAGACTAATAATAAAAATTCTAAATTTTAGGACTTCTTTTTAAAAAATCATATAGTTTTAAAAGTGAGTTATATAAGCTGAGTATAAAGAAAAAAAAAGAGTATCACAGCTCTCTAATGAAAAAATACATTGAAAGCTGTTCAATACAACTGCTTCAGATCCCTAAAGAACAATTCTTATAATTATCAACTGCCAAATATTTCTAAGCACTGATTTTGACTAATAAAACTATACTAAGACACATTTTTTTTAAATGCTGAACTTGAATTAAGACGGCACAAGCTGTAAAATTAGCTTTTTAAAAAGCAAATGCAAACTGAAACAATTTGGCTTTTGCCCAAATTTACACTCTATTTATAATTTAGAAAATATTTCCACAAGAGTATATATCTCCAATAAGCAGACTTCCACCAAAGGTGTGGCCCATGTTAAGTGCCAACATTACCCTTATTCTACCAATTGGGCAGAGCACAAAAGTGTACAGGCTCTTGTAAGCACCCTTATCATATGACTGCTGCCAGAAGAGGCATAAAAGTCAAGTAGTGTACTGTGAGATGACAGCAGTCTACCAACAGCCCATGCAAGAAGGCATTATGCAACTATTAGTGAAAAAATAACAACTCTACATTTGTTTTTTCTGCAATATATTTATATATTGAGAAGAAAAAAGCTCAATAGTGCTGGAATAACTGCTAACATTATATCCAAGAAGAAATACCAAATTGAGCAGACATGAGTAGAAGCAGGTAAAATACAACAAAAAATTCTATCATCTAACTTATGAAATTATATTAGAAAGGAAATTAAAACATAATTGCATAAGTTGCTATATTTCCTATATTATTCTATTATAACCATTTCTCTTCCCAAAAATAACTTCATGGTGCATCTTTACTGTCAAATATTATGCAGCAGCTAAAAAATAATGTTGCAAATCCCTATGCACTGACATGGAAATATGTTTAAGCCACTCTGTTAAGTGAAAAACAAACAAACAAAAACTGTCCCAAAATATTTAATTTGATGCATTTTAAGTATCCAAACAACAAAAATAAAGAAAACTTTCCATGTATATATGTAGTAGGTGTGTGTGTGTGTGTGTGTGTGTGTGTGTGTGTGTGTATATATATATCTTAATAAAAGGCTATATGCAAATGGTCATCACACCATGATGCCGTAAGGACCAATCAGCAGGGACCTGAGGCTGCATCGCACCGGGCCAGGGGGGGACCTGAGGCCGCACCCCCCCACCCGGCGGGGCTTGATTGGGGTGAGGCCAGCTGAGTCTGTGTCTCGCCCAATGAGGTCTCAGTCTGGCATGATTTTGAGGCACACACGGGTGGGTGGAGACTTGACTCTGGGTCCCGCATGGGTAGGCGCACCCAAGACTCTGACACGAGGGAGATTTTCATATACATTTTAGTAATTTTCTTTCATCTCTGACACTTCTATTATAGAGAATATCAATATTAAAATATTTCCTCTAATTAATCCCCTTTTAATGGGCACAAATTTTGTGCACTGGGCCACTAGTGTGTGTGTGTGTGTGTGTGTGTGTGTGTGTGTGTGTGAGTGTGTGTAACTGATTAGTTTAAATAAGACTATGTACTAAAAACTGCTGACTTCAAAAGGCCTGACAAGTTATTTTTCACTCTTATATAACTCTATATAGCTTACAGCTTTTCAAGAAACATAATATGAGCCATAATAGCTATGCATCAAAAACTATTATGAGAAACAAGAAAACAAGTTTAAGTTTCTGTCACTGAGAATCTTACTAATGAGGAGAAGACCTGTTAATTGTACATGTTTAACCAAAAGAGTACAATATTCAAGAAATTTCAGGGGAAATCAAGACCATTAGGCTAAAAATATCATTCATATTCCTCTCCCAACTCAAATTAGGATACATTATAAGTGTTATTTTAAAAATGTTACCTTTCTTGATGTATAAATGTCAAAAAATGGCTTATTTCTGACACTAAATGGTTCCTGTGCTTTGTCAATGAGCCCAGTCTTCATTTTTTCATGTCGAGGATTTATTATTTCTCGTTCTATACACTGAAGACGAACATTAAAATCACAATCTCCAACTGGTTGTGCCTGAATTAAATGAGACAGTTATTTAAATTTCAACTCTAAAAACTAATTTTTCAGCATAATTATGAATGCTTTCATTTTGTACATAGTAGTTTATGTAAATTACATCCTTTGGAGTTCTCCAATATAGAGCCTGCACAACCACACATGCCAGCCCTGAAAATTAATTTGACTAATGATGGAAGCATATCTAAACATACACACACACACAGTTATTTCAAAATTATAAATGTATAAAATAGTATGGGAAAACATTATAAATTTACTAGTTTAATAGATTTGGATCACCACAACTGATCCAAAATTTTCACATCTGAATTAAAGTATTAATATACTCACTAATTGTTTTTATTATGTATATACTTATATGCATAGCCCATGGATAAGTTAGTGAAGATCAGAGGAGAGGTAAGGATTGGGAGAAAGATGAATGGGGGGAGGGAGAATTGGAGCTATTTGTAATACTATCAACAATAAAAAATATATTTGAAAAAGAATTTTTTAAAAACTTCTGTGGCTCAATGGTTACTAATATGAAAAAAATATTGTTTGCCACATTTATATCCAAAAAAGAATTAAAATACAGAAAAGATAACTAATTCCTATACATTGTGAAGAGCATGATTTGCAACCAAAATTAAAAGAACAGACCATTTGAATCTATAATTAAATCACAAACATCCAAACAAGTAAAAGCAAACATAAAATATGTTTTACTTCAATAGTGATTAGAAAAAATCAAATTAAAAACAAGATATCATTTCACACATAGCCATTTGGAAAAAAAAAATAGGTATGTAATACCAACTGTGATAAATTGGTACAACTACTTCTGAAAGGAATTTAGCAAGGCAGCTAATAAAGCTTAATTAAGTTGATAAATTAATTAGAATCTTCATGTTGTAGGAAATGAGGGACTGGACTTTTTAAATACTTCCTGGCTGACCACATTGCAGGAATGAGAACTGTCCTAGAGAAACTTTGACACATGTGCATAAGGAAAAAAATATATAGAACTATTCAATACAATAATTTAACAGCAAAATATGGAAATCCATATGTTAATCAAGAGGAAAAAAGATAAATTCCATACAGTTATACAATATAATAATTAAGAGTAATTAAAGAGAATGAACCAAACCTACGTGCATTAACACAGATAAATCTATACAAAATAATGTGGTGGACAGAACAGGTAATCCAATTCCAACCAGCAGCTATGTTTAAACAATGTGTCCATTTATGGGAGGGGAGTGGACTGACTGTTCTCAGGGAAAGGGAGGGAGGAAGAGACTGAACATAAGCTGTGCACCTATGGATGAGGACAATGGGGGGTGGGGAGGGGGCGGAGGGTGGGGTGGGAACCTGGTGGAAGGGGGAAGAAATGAGGAACCTTTGTAATAATATGAACAATAAAGATTGATTTTAAAAAATAAAAATAATGTGGTAGAAATGTTGTGTACTACAGTACAGTACTATGACATTTATGAAACAGAAATCCTACAAAAGAACACCACATGTATTTTATAGACATACATTGATAGTAAAGGTATCACAAACACTCATGGGAATAATAAACACCAAATTCAGGGTAGGAGCTATTGCTGCTGTATAAGAGGGTCAAGGATAAGATGACAGAGGGCTACACAAGAAACTTCTGATACTATACATTTAATGATTTATTTCTTATTAAAAGGAGAGTGGAGTAGAAAAGACAGTTAAGCTTCAACAAATCTAGTGGTAGGTACATAGTATTCCTTATATTACTCTGTATACTTTTACATATGCCGAAAACTTTCTTTTTCTTTTAAGAATTAGAAGGCTATTGTCTAAGACAAAGTTCCCAGGCTAAGAGATGAGACTGCACAGGACACACTTTAAAGCAGAGCTAAATATCAAGAGGCAAAGGAGATAGCACTCCCCCATTCACAAAGAAACAAAGCCACACCCACCCTTTGTCTTGTTAGGGGCCAATGAACATCATTCCAAGATCTGTGGTAAGAGTTAAGTCAATTTTGGAAAGCATTACTTTTGAGGAAGACAGTAGCCACAAACAGAACAAGATTAAAACTTGATGGTTTCTGACCTTGAGTTTCCTAGGTTTGAAATAGTTTAAAATATACATAATTCAACAACAAATGAGATATATAGACATTGAAAATTCCCTGGGGAAAATAAGTCATCTGGATTAATATATAATCTTGAATCTTAATACTGCCATTTAAAATATACACCCCCCTGCAAAAAAAGGGTTTTTTTTGAACTTTTATTATAAATCCTCAAAAATCTTAAAACTTAACACTTTTAATTCCAGAATTTTTAACTGCTTTCAGTCTGCTTGAAATACTAAATAATTATGCAATCTGAATAATATATTTCTAGAATAATTATATCTTTTCATAGATGTACACTATTGAAAGAATTTCTTCCATTTATAGAATTCATCTTGTTCTGTCTAAATAATTTCAACACTGAATTAAATATTAACAGGCAATTTGATTCTTGGCTAGTCTAAAACTGTAGTACTAAATATAATTTCACTTTTTTTATATCTATTCACAAAAGGAGATTTTATATTGTTTTTAGATTTACTTACTAACATTTTACAATATACTATCTTGTTTTACACAGCTAAACTGTTTTTTCTTTAGTCACTTGAAATAACTAAGTAATCTAAAGACAAATGTGCAAAGTATTAGGCAGTAAGGGAAGAAAAAATGTACAAGTGTTGACAAAAAACAAAACAAATGAGTAACTTGAAAGTCACAATTTTTCTTTCTTACTCTAAGGCAATAATACTTTTTATTTGTTAAAAACATCTATTATCTCAGTGACAATCCATTTAGAAATTATAAACGGTACTTACATTGAATTTAATTATGTCGTAAATCAAATATCTAGGTACAGCTTGTCCATTTACTTTATCAATAATCATTTCCTTAAAAGAGAAAAAAAGAAAAGTTCCTTCATTCTTTAACAACAATTTCTTTAATTTGACTGAAACATAACAGACACATAGAAAGTACATAAACCATCAAAATACAACCTGATAAAATTTCAAATGGACACATTTATAATACCCAGATTAAATAAATATTGTCAGCATCCCAAAAAGCCCATCATGAGTTTATTCTGTATAAAGTGATATTACAATGTCTGCTCATTATATTTTTATATTTGAATTACTATGCTATGTTTTGTTTTATGTTTGAATTTACTAAGCAACTATTAGAATAAAAAAGTACAAATTTTAAATGCCAAATATCAGGAACATTTAAAAATAATTTGTTAAATCATTATCGATTTATATTTTGCTATATACCAATTAATTTAATCATAAAATCTGTAGATATAAATGGTACCCTTATAAGAGATACAATCCCCATACTACACATGTGGTCTTTCTTGGTTCCACATGCCTCTACTATCATCAAAGGGAACAGAGGAAAAGAATATGGTACCACATAAGACAGCCATTAAATGAAAAGAATGTAAATTCTGCATTCTAACAGAAAAGAGATAAAGATCAAAGGGAACAGAGGAAAAGAATATGGTACCACATAAGACAGCCATTAAATGAAAAGAATGTAAATTCTGCATTCTAACAGAAAAGAGATAAAGGATACTAAAGAATGATTATAGGTAGTAATTTATAATGATTATAATGTATAGTTTATAAAATTTCAACTTTTAATAATAGGTTTGACCTAAAATTAATTTTTTTAAAATATCTTTATTGATTTCAGAAAGGGAGATTGAGATAGAAACATCAATAATGAGAGAAAATCATTGATCTGTTGCCTCCTGCATGCTCCCTACTGGGGATCAAGCCTGCAACCCAGGCATGTGCCTTTGACTAGAATCGAACCTGGGACCCTCCAGTTCGCAGGCCAATGCTCTATCCACTAAGCCAAACCAGCTAGGGCCTAAAATTACTTTCCTTTCCTCATATCCTTTCTAGGAAACTAAATGGGTTTTTTAAAATAATTTCATGACAGAAAATCCACATATAACCATCTAATATTACAAAGAACATACTGATTTAGGACAAATATATTTTGTTTTAAAAAACTATTAAACTATTACAATTAATTTCTTTTTCAAATATGTGTTTTGTTAAGTACAGACACTTATGATTATTGTCTTGAACCCAACTCTTTTTTTATCTTTATATGTTATTTGAGATGCTTGATATGAATTATATCACTTTCATTCTTTTAAACTGTTCACTGAAGTATTTTAATTTAAATACATTTATCTAAGAATTCATGAGCCAATGAAGTGGTATCAATAATATGTTTCAATTAATTATTCTTTACAAAACTGGGTTGATGGAAACTAAGTGGCCTTCCAAGTTCAGACAGCAGACATCACAGAATTTCCCTCCCAAATTACCTGACAAAATGAGCAAAAACATACTTTTCTTTAAACATTAAAAAAGGCAAAAATATATATATATATATTATCAGCAAACAAAACAAATAAAAAGGAATAAACAAATGAATAAGCTTTAAAATAGACAGCCACGGCCGAAACCGATTTGGCTCAGTGATAGAGTGTCAGTCTGTGGACCAAAAGGTCCCGGGTTCGATTCCGGTCAAGGGCATGTATATTGGTTGTAGGCACATCCCCAGTAGGGGGTGTGTAAGAGGCAGCTGGTCGATGTTTCTCTCTCATCGACGTTTCTAGCTCTCTATCCCTCTCTCCTCCTCTCTATAAAAAATCAATAAAAATATATTTTTTAAAAAATAGACAGCCACGGAAGATACCAAGATTCTGGTAAAACAAAAAGGCACAGCAGGGTTCAGCTCCAAGCTCTACTTGTAAAATGAGTCTTAGTAATTATCAATATTACACTCAAATATATAGAGATACAAACACACTAGTTATTATTGTCTTTCTTTTTCTACCTCTTCAATGTGTAGAGTAATAAAAATACCAGACTATTTCTGCTTCCAGACTTCATGCTGAATTGAAGAAATAATCTGAGCATTACCAGAATAAAATATGGTTCCTGACTAGTTGAAGAAAATATTTACCAAAGTTTTTAAAAGAGAATAGAACTTAGAGATTCTAACAAAGACCCAATATCAAGAATGATTCTCTCCAAGGAGTCCCTTCACCACAGCTGCCACTGCCTTAATTTACTGAAAAGTAAGTAGACATAAAATACATAAGCTTAAAACTTAGTTAATCGGAAACTTTGTACACTGTTGGTGGGATTGTAAAATGTTGCAGCCACTATGGAGTTCCCTCAAAAAATTGACACTAGAACTATCATATGACCCAGTGATGCCACTTCTGGATATATATCCAAAAGTACTAAAAGCAGAGTCTTAAAGAGATATTTACACACCCATGTTTATAGCACCACTATTCCAGTAGCTAAGAGGCAGAAGCACCAAATGTGGAATATATATACAGTGGGATAGATACTACTGAGCCTTGAAAAGGATGGAAATTATCACCAGCTATAACATGGATAAACTTTGAGGACATTAAGCTAAATAAACTAAGCCAATCACAAAAAGACAAATACCATATGATTTAAGTTATATGAGGTATCTAAAGTAGTTAAATAGTTAAATTCATACAAATAGAAAGTAAAACGGTGGTTGCCATGAGGTAATTCACTGGTATGATATAGAGTTTCAAATTTACATGACAAAAAAGTTCCTAAAAAGAGCCCTACAACTGTTCTAACTTATTCTTAAGGAGAGTTTGTGGAATTTGATGCGGGCAGAGGGATGCCAGGAGGAGCCCATCTAGGTGATGAAAATATTCTGAAATCCTATCTAATAAAAGACTAATATGCGAATTAACCATCACTCTGCCACACCCAGCAGCCAATCAGGAGCAAGTATGCAAATTAACCCAACCAAGATGGCTACAGTCACAGAGCAGGCAGGAGGCTTGAGTTGTCCCCAGCGATGAAGGAAGCCAAGCTTTCTGCCCGCGCTGGCCTGCCTTGGCCTCAAGACTACAAAGTTTCAATAATAGAAGATAAATAAATCCCAGACACCAGGGCCTCCACTTGGGTCACCCAGTGGCATGGCCGTACTGCAAACCACCACAGGCCCCTTACCCAGGCCACCCCACGCCCCAAACAAACCCCCATCCTGTTCCATGACACCCTTCAGGGAGAATCAGCTGGCCTCCACTTGTGCACCAGACCTCTATCCTATCTAATAAAAGAGTAATATGCAGATTGATAATCACTCCAACACACAAGATAGCTTCCCCCATGTGTCAAAGATCCTGCCCCCATGTGGACACAAGATGGCTGCCACAAGATGGCCAGCAGGAGAGGGCAGTTGGAAAAGACCAGGCATGCAAGGAAGGGTAATTGGGAAGCATCAGGCCTGCAAGGGAGGGCAGTTGCGAGGGACCAGGTCTGCAAGAAAGGGCAGTTGGGGACGATCAACCCTGCAGGGGAGGGCATTAAGGGTGACTAGGTCAGCAGAGGAGGGAAGTTGGGGGCAAACAGGCTGGCAGGGGAGCAGTTAGACATCAATCAGACTGGCATGGGAGTGGTTATGGGATGATTAGACTGCCAGGCAAAAGCAGTTAGGGGCAAACAGAAAGGCAGGCAGGTGAGCAGTTGGGAGCCAGCAGTCCTGGATTGTGAGAGGGATGTCCAATTGTCCATTTAGGCCCAATCCAGGTAAGGGTTCCAGATTGGAGAGGATGCAGGCTGAGCTGAGGGATGCCAACCCCCTCCCGTGCACACATTTCATGCACCAGGCCTCTAGTTAGTAATATAGTCACAATATCTTTTTCTTAATATATATTTTATTGATTTTTACAGAGAGGAAGGGAGAGGGATATAGAGTTAGAAATATCAATGAGAGAGAAACATCAATCAGCTGCCTCCTGCACACCCCTACTGGGGATGTGCCTGCCACCAAGGTACATGCCCTTGACCAGAAAATCAAACCTGGGACCTTTTAGTCTGCAGGCCGATGCTCTATCCACTGAGCAAAACTGGTTTCGGCCACAATATATTTTTTTAAATATATTTTTATTGATTTCAGAGAGGAAGGGAGAGGAAGATGGAAACATCAATGATGAGAGTCATCGATAGGTTGCCTACCACATACCCACTCTGCGGATTGAGCCCACATAACCCAAAATCAAACACTGACCTCCTAGTTCATAGACCTTTGCTCAATCACTGAGCCATGCCAGCCAGGCACAATCTTTTGACTGTACTAAATTTAATTATACTTTAATTTTAAAAAGTAAAACTAAATTTTTTATCCCTCAGTTCTTCAGAGTAAAGAAAAATGATAGGATTCCAGATACACAGCATTTATTAAATGTCAGTACAGCCCAAACTGGTTTCATCAGTGGATAGAGTGACACTTGCAGACTGAAGGATACCGGGTCTGATGTCGGCCAAGGGCACATGCCTGGATTGCGGGCTTGATCCCCAGTACGAGGCAGACAATGAATGATTCTCTCTCATCATTGATTTTTCTATCTCTCTCTCCCTCTCCCTTCCTCTCTGAAATCAATAAAAATGTATTGTTTTAAATGTCAGTACATACATGTTGATTATACATGTTTTATTAATATATACACAACAAAATGACTAAAAAGAAGTACATCAAAATGTTAAAATGTAATCTATTCTTGATAGTTGAACTTTTCTTCTTGATAATGTACTGACTTACTAAAAATGAAGCATGCATATTGCTTTATAAAAAATTAACAGTTGAAAAGACATGCCATTTTTCCAGGACTCTTGCAATTAACTTTAATCTTTAATTACCATATCCTCCTCTTAAACTCAATGTAAAATTGACTGAATTTCACTGATTTATGTCAAGTGAATTAATGCTGTATTTCTCAACTCCTATTTTCCATATTTTGTAGGTCAAAGAACATCATTCAGAGAGCAAAACGAAAGCTTTCCTGCTCACATCTGACAGTCAG